GGCGGCCGGTCCTCGGGCAGGCAGCGAGCGGGCTCTAATTACCCGCTTGTCCGGCTCTTAACCTAGATTGCACTCAGCTAGAATTACATTCAGGAGTGAAGCACTTCGCAGATTACAAAAGCAGTCTCACCTACTTTTGTGCCTCAGAATTGCAAGGAACTACGAACTGCAATTTAGAGAGAGGGAGAGAGAGAGAGAGAGAGGGAGAGGGAGAGAGAAGGAAGAGAGGATCAGAGCCGTTTCTTTGATTCTCACCTTCTAAATGGCTCAATTTGCCCAGTATAATCTGTCTTAATGTAATTGCATTTGATAGCTCATAACCCTGGCTCTGGCAACGACACAGCTTTCAGCCTCATAAAGTGTTTTCCCCTCGGATTTAATCTGAATCTCAATCTAAAATTATATTCAAAGAGATGGGGGAATCTCGGCGGCCGCCTCCCGCTGCCTTTCTCCTTCAGTGTATGAGGTTTGCACTCCTGCTACTGAATAAATGCACACATTTCTCGAGCCCCCCCCCTCCCGGGTTAATGGGGAGTGGAGACGCGCGGCTGCCCGGCTCCGCAGCGCCACCTGGAGGTCTTTCGGCCCCAGTTCGGCTCGTGGCTCCGCTGGGGTCCTAGGGCCCAGGTCTGCAATCAGTGTGGTGGATGACCTGGGACTGTTACTCCCAGCCCCTCGGCTTTGATTTCTCCCTCCTCACAAGGGCGATTTTCTCCGATCCCATGCCCTCCCTCCTGCAAGGACTGTCCAGGGTTTCTAGGTTTTTTTCTCAGATTATTGGCAAAGTTAACCCTCTATAGGGCACAAAACCTCCCACTGTGAGTCTTACAGCGTCTCACCTGACCCCAGCAACCCCTCAAAGAGCATCCTGATCCCATGGAAAGGGGGAGCCTGCCTCAGCTTCTCTCTGAGCAAGTGCAGCATGGCCTTGAAGGCGTTTCTCCTTCCACAAATATTTATTGAGCATGTATTATATGCCAAGCACTATTCTAAGGCACCAGGGACACAGCACAGAATGAAATAAAGATTCCTGCTGCTATTATTGAGTTGAGAATTCCTGCACTGTAACTCATAAGGTAAGAAGGATGGCACTATTCATCTCTTCTCTTGGACCCTGCTTCTCCCCAGCGCCCTGGGCCTGGTGCCCACACTACCTACTCTAGGAAGGCCGCCTACCTTTAAAATCCAAGAGTCCCCCACCCCCAGACAGTACAGAGCTCTAGGGTGGAAATTATTATTTTTCTCCAGCTCGTGGAGGGCTCCAGAAAAACGTGTTGTGGCTTGGTCCTGGCAGTCACTTCGGAGGACTGGACCCAGGCAAAGACAAACTGAAGTTCCTGGAGGGGCAAAGGGTGACCAGATGGGATTCTACCTCATCTCTGCCAATTAGTAACAGCAGACCTGGGGGGAGGTCCACTTTCTCTCTCTGACCTCAGTTTCCTTGAGTGTCAAGTGGGAAACCTACTCTTCCTGTCTGTAAGGTTGCTCTCTCATTATCAGTCAGATAAGATAAGGCCGGTGAGTGCGCTCTGTAAACTGTGGTGCTCTGGAAAATGAGGGTGGATTATCCGGTAGGAAAAAGACCTAGGTCTTGCCCCTGACACTCTGGGAAGCCCCAGTGCTTGACAGGAGTGGAGAATGGAGGGCTGCGGCCCATCTTCTTCTCTCCCAGGCAGGGAAGTCAGGCTTTGAGGAAACAGAAGAGTAGCTGCTTCTAATGAAATGCCTCATCTGCAGCTCAGAGGGTTTCACTTTCTCCTTCATCTTGAATACTTAATCCTAATAGTCCTTGAGTATATTTGATGTTAAATATATCATTTTGCTCAGACTGGGTGTCCCTTGGGACTGCAAGCTTGATCTCTCCCCTGCCACGGCAGCCAAAGCTGTGCCCTCAAGGTCTCACGGTGGCTTCAGCACTGCTGCTGCTGTCACATTTGGTGCCAGCCCTTCACCCTGGCCTGCACTGGGGGCCAGATGCTGCAGCAAGCACAGGACCTGTCAAGGCCAGCTTCTTGCTACAGAAACCCCTGTTCTACCTGGAGGCATTTGCTCCATAAGGGCTGCAGCCTTACCTGTGACCTTGAGGGGCTGCTTCTCATTGTCAGGGTCTGGGCCTGACCCACAGACCAAGAATCAACTACCCTGCGCTATTAGCCCACTCTCTTGTCTGTTGCACCTAGCCTCTCTGTCCCAACATCATAGCCTCCAAGGTACCCACTTAGCAGTCACACGTCAGGACCCCTGTGCCCCAAGCCTGGAGTGCTGAGCAGGTAGGGCATGTCAACAGGAGTAGTACTATGAGTGAAGTCTGCTTGTGCCCGAAACTGGCTCTCTGTCCCAGCTGATAGGGTGGTGCTCCCAACATAATCTGGACAGGGACCTCCACAGTTGGGTTAGAGTGGCCCAGGACTTGGGTGACCTAGCCCCCAGCTAGGAAGGAGCCTAATGAGTTGACAGAGGGAGATGTGGGCCTCACTCATTGGGCACCTCCTCCTTCACTCAGAGCTATCTCCCACCCCCTGCCCACCCACCCTTC